TTAAAAAAATTAATTAAAATAAATATAAATAATAGATTTTTAAAAAATTAAAGAATCCAAATTATAAATTAAAAAGAAATAACAAAATATTTTATAAATAACTAAATATTTAAGTTTTAAATTCATATACAATTAAAAAGAAAAAAAAACTAAACTACGAACATCCTCGTTAAATTGACGAACGAAGTCGTCATCCCGGCTCAACAACTAGTATCATTGATATACTAGTATCATTTGAAAAAACAATTAAAAAAACTAAACCAACATAATCTAAATTCCCTAAACTAACCACCTAATCTAAATTCCCTAAACTAACCACCTAATCTTAATTCCCTAATCTAATCACTTAACTAGGAATTAGATATTACCTTAAGAGGTTATTGAGAGATGATTGCTACAAATGAGAGAAATCGGATGACTCGACTTATATAGGGAATTTGGTTTCCTCGTAAGGTCCTCGTAATTTGACGAGGAAATAGCTAGTCCCGCGTTTAGGGTTACGAGGACTTTACGAGGAAATCGCGAGTCCCACGATTAGGTTTCCTCGTAAAGTCCTAGTAATTCTGTTACTAGGACTTTACTAGGAAACAGCGAGTCCCGTGTTTTCTTTTACTAGGGTTTTACGAGGAAAGGGTTTGTAAATCCCTAAACTCGAAACCCCAAACACCAAACCACAACTTCCTTAACTTATAACCTCTTCTACACCTAAACCCCAAATTCTCAAAACTAAACAACCTAATATAAATTCCCTACACTAACCACCTAATCTAAATTCCCTAAACCTTAAACCCTAAACCTAAAGCAACTTCCATAACTTATACCTCTACATCTTCATAAACCCCAAATCACAAATTAAAAAAACTAAAAGAAGTATACAATCATCGGAACGGTTTTTATCAACCTCGCATAGCTTTCCTCGAACTATCTACCTGAGGAAAAGCCCCAAGCTATTTCTTTGAGGAAAAACTATGCCGAGTTGATAAGAAACTATTCTATTGACTGTGAACTCCTTTCAGTTATGAATTGAGTGTTTTCTATTTGTTTGGTGTGTTTGAAATGAATAAAGAAATGGTGGTATTTATAGAAATTTTCGAATCTGAACATTTACTAGGAAATTGTGAGGAAAGTTACAGTTAAAACACGTTTTAGATTTAAAATAGATATTTTCTAACCAGTTCTTCGCTAATTAGATGTAATTTCTATCTAGTTCCTCTTAATTTTGTAGTAAAAAATCTATTCCTCTTAATTTCGTAGTAATACTTTACTAGGACTTTACGAGGAAATTGACTTACTACAGGCTTACGAGGAAATAGACTTTTGCCACGTAATTTCCTCGTAAGCTTACTATGGTGTTACGAGGAAATATGTTTCTCGTATCTGTACGAGGATCTTACGAGGAAAACTTGTTTCCTCGTAAAATCGAAGTAAGTTCGTAGTAAATTTATGAGGAATTATTTTCCTAGTAAAATTTTCTAGTAACTTCTTAGTTTTCTTATAGTGAAATATTAAATAAAATATTAACCCTAAACCCTAAAACATCAATTCTAAACTCTAGGCCCTAAAAAGTAAACCCTAAACCCTAATAATCAACCCTTAAACCCTAAAATATCAATTCTAAACCTTAAACCCTAAACTCTAAACCTTAAAAAGTAAATCCTAAACCCTAAAAATCAATCCTAAAACATCAATTCTAAACTCTAGGCCCTAAAAAGTAAACCCTAAACCCTAAAAATCAACCCTAAACCCTAAAATATCAATTCTAAACCTTAAACCCTAAACTCTAAATTCTAAAAAGTAAACCCTAAACCCTAAAAAATCAACACTAAACCCTAAATTATCAATCCTAAACCTTAAATTCTAATAGTATTTTAACTATTAAAATTTTAGTGGTAAAGTTGGTTAATGTAAAGTTGAAAAGTGGTATCTTAAAAGTTTTATTTCTCGCAATTTCTCTCTAAAAAAATATTACAAGTAGTTTTGAACTATGTCTTTTGAGTCCTTATTCCTTAATTGTGTTCAAAAGTCAACTTGACGAATTGGATAGAAGAACATCAAAATCCAAACGCAGCGACGCGCTAAATACGCCAGACGCGCCTAAAATAAATAGCGGTTGAAACAAAGGCTGAGTCGAGTGAGAAAAGGCGATTGTAAGAAACCAAACTCTCAAGATCCCTAAAAATTCCAAACAAAAAAAAAGAACCCTAGATTGTCTCTACCTCACGCTCCTTGCGTTTCTCACTCGCTTTGCTTCCCCACTCGCCTCCTGTCCTCTGCTTCGTATTCTTTGCTTTGCTCTGCTTCGTATTCTTTGCTTTGCTCTGTATCCCCCTTTGTCGCTCTCTGGGTGAGCGAGAAAATGGGCAAATCCGGTGTCTTAAATTCCTGAAATTTCGTTAATTTCTTACCTTATGATACATAAAGTCTGTATCTTTTGTTCTTAATTCTAATGAAAGTAAGCTTATTTATTCTCTGCTGCACTTTTTTTTTTTTGGACTTAGGACCGGAACTTGTCTATTACTAGAAGCATGTTGTTGAAAGTTCTCCACCTTCCAATTGCTATGTGTGTTTCAAAAGATAGCTAAAGAAAAGTTTGATCTTTGTGGATGATATATGTCTAGTGTACGTGTTCTAATGAAGTTCGATTGTTTTATTTTCAGGTGCTAATGTAAGTTATCTACTGGGAGCATTCTAGTTTTTACTGTTGTTTCATGGGAGTCCATGGTAGGGTAGTTTCTTCTGAATGTATTAAGGTCTATAGTGAGTCCAGATGTGGCTAAGTTGAAGATGGATTTGCAAGAGAATAATAATAACAATCAGATGAGTGATGCAAATATGGTTGAATCTCTTAATAACAACAGAGACGTAGGATTTGTTGTAGTTGATGATCTCAGAACAGGAGATATTGGCTTCAGTGGTGTTCTTGATCTTGAGCCACGAGATGGTATTGACTTCGACACACACGAAGCAGCGTATACGTTTTACCAAGATTACGCGAAATCTATGGGCTTTACTACCTCCATTAAAAACAGCAGGCGGTCCAAGAAGACTAAAGATTTCATCGACGCCAAGTTTGCTTGTTCTAGATACGGTGCGACTCCTGAGTCTGAGAGTGCTAGTAGTAGTGGTCGAAGGTCAAGTGTGAAGAAAACAGATTGTAAGGCAAGCATGCATGTGAAGAGAAAACCGGATGGGAGATGGATCATTCATGAGTTTATAAAGGAACATAACCACGAGCTTCTACCTGCTCTTGCTTATCATTTCCGGATTCAGAGGAATGTCAAGTTAGCTGAGAAGAATAATATCGACATCTTGCACGCTGTTAGTGAACGGACCAGGAAAATGTATGTTGAGATGTCGAGACAATCCGGGGGATATAAGAACAAGGAGCTTCTTCTTCAGACAGATGTCAACAATCAGGTTGATAAGGGTCGGTACTTGGCTTTGGAAGAAGGAGATTCTCAAGTACTGCTTGACTACTTTAAGCGTATAAAGAAAGAAAACTCCAGATTCTTCTATGCGATGGACTTAAACGAGGAGCAACGGTTGAGAAATCTGTTTTGGGCTGATGCTAAGAGCAGAGATGATTATATGAGTTTCAACGATGTTGTGTCCTTTGACACAACTTATGTCAAGTTTAACGATAAGTTGCCACTTGCTTTATTTATTGGGGTGAACCATCACTCTCAGCCTATGTTGCTTGGCTGTGCATTGGTTGCTGATGAGTCCAAGGAGACATTTGTGTGGCTGATAAAAACATGGCTTCGAGCAATGGGTGGTCGAGCTCCTAAAGTTATACTCACTGACCAAGATAAACTCTTGATGACTGCGGTTTCGGAGCTGTTACCAAACACTCGTCATGGCTTTGCGTTATGGCATGTGTTAGAAAAGATTCCTGAATACTTCTCCCATGTGATGAAACGGCACGAGAACTTCTTGCAGAAATTCAATAAGTGCATCTTCAGATCGTGGACGACTGATCAGTTTGATATTAGATGGTGGAAAATGGTTAGCCAGTTTGGACTTGAGAATGATGAATGGCTGCTATGGTTGCATGAACACCGCCAAAAATGGGTGCCCACTTTTATGAGCGATGTGTTTCTGGCGGGAATGTCGACCTCTCAGCGTGCAGAAAGTGTGAACTCTTTCTTCGATAAGTACGTCCATAAGAAAATCACGCTGAAAGAGTTCTTGAGGCAGTACGGTGTGATGCTGCAGAATAGATACGAAGAGGAATCTGTTGCAGATTTCGATACTTGCCACAAGCAACCTGCGTTGAAGTCTCCCTCTCCCTGGGAGAAGCAGATGGCAACAACTTACACCCACACGATATTCAAGAAGTTTCAAGTGGAGGTCTTGGGAGTTGTCGCTTGCCATCCTAGAAAGGAAAAAGAAGATGAAAACATGGTGACCTTCAGAGTTCAAGACTGTGAAAAAGACGACGAGTTCCTTGTAACGTGGAGCAAAACTCAGTCAGAACTCTGCTGTTTCTGCCATATGTTTGAATACAAAGGGTTTCTCTGTCGACATGCTTTGATGATCCTGCAGATGTGTGGCTTTGCAAGCATTCCGCCTCGATATATTTTGAAAAGGTGGACAAAAGATGCTAAGGGTGGAGGAGCAGACCCGACTCAAACCAGAGTTCAGCGGTATAATGATTTGTGTAGTCGAGCCATTGAATTAAGTGAGGAAGGTTGTGTGTCAGACGAAAACTACAACATCGTATTGAGAACTCTAGTTGAGACCCTGAAAAATTGTGTCGACCTAAATAATGCTAGAAACAACATCACTGAGTCTAATAGCCAGCTTAATAATGGTGCTCACGAAGAAGAAAACCATGTACTGGCTGGTGTAAAAGCAACAAAAAAGAAGACTGTTGTTAGGAAAAGAAAGGTGGTTTTCTTATTGACTTCTCTGCAATCTAACCCCTATGTATTTGATACTAGTACATTTTCTTAGTGTACTCAAATGATCTTGTGCAGGGACAACCAGAGGCTAGCCAAATGCTTGAATCTCAGTTGCAACCAATGGTTTGTGCTTTCTTTGGATCAACAGTGCATTTTTGATATGTGAAAAAGAGTAGGATGTGTTGAAGATGGCCTTTATAGTCTGCTGCTGGTTCTTGTGATTGTTTATGCAGGAAAATATAAGTTCAGAGGGAATGAGCATGAGTGGTTACTATGGTACTCAACAGAACGTTCAAGGATTGGTATGCTGATTTTTACTAGACCTGGCTAAGCTATTCAACATCTGTACTAACCTGTTTTTTTACTGTGGATATAGTTAAATTTAATGGAGCCACCTCACGAAGGCTACTATGTAAATCAACGAACCATACAAGGCCTGGTGGGTTTATATATACACATAAATGCTTGAATCAGAAAACAGCACACTGTGATCCATAACCTAAATATGTGCATAAGTATAAATCAATGTGAAATGATAAAGGATTGTCATGGTTTGGTTCTTGTGTTTCAGGGACAACTGAATTCCATAGCACCAGTGCAGGATAGCTTCTTCACGAATCAGCAAGCAATGCCTGGGCTGGTACGTTATGCTTCTTCCTTTATAAACTCTTCTAAAGTGATTTTAGAAGCATGACAAGAGTGATCTTTATTGTAACTTTTACTTTTCCTGCTGCAGGGTCAAATCGATTTCAGGCCTCCTCCCAATTTTACTTACAGCTTACAGGTTAACTCCATGAACAAATCATAAAGTTGCTGCTTTACTTGGAATGATAGTTTATTTTTGTGGGCTTAACTCACTTGTTTTTTCTTTTTCCTTTTCTTCAGGATGAGCATTTGAGATCTGCCCAGTTGCCTGGTAGTTCATCAAGACAGCTATAGAAACTCAACAGATCTTCCATTTGACCCGAGTTGCAATTGACAAGAACAAATAAAATATTTTAGATTGGTCTATCTATATTATGGGTTTCCCTTTCCATATATGAATATGACTGAAATGTTGTGTATCCGAACGAACGATTAGAGTTTTATGACTTTATCTCATTAAGTAGAAGGCACCTTTTGACACGGTTCTCCAAACAGACACAAGCCAAGTCTCCTCTGTATGTTTTTAGTTTTAAAAAGGTTATTTTCGTGTATCAAAGTTTGTTATTCTGACACAACTAATCTCATTACAGAAAATAAAAGCACACATGAGTAAAGAGAAAATAAAAGCACACATGAGTAAAGAGTTGAACGCTCGTAATGAGAGAAAAAGTGATATATTCTGGAGTACTCTTATCTATTCTGATACTCTTCATCTCGATGGACAAAGTCGAAAGTACCCATCTCTACTTAATCAATCAAAACGCTGATCTGCTTGACCAATAAAAAAAAAGCGCGGTTTTTCTCTCTCCTAACTACTTTTCTGAGCTTCTACTCTTCCGGTTTGGCTTGTCGAAGTGAATTCTGTCGAAGTAAGATCTGCTGTAGTCACTCCTCAATTTCGTTCGAACTTTCATTTGTAAAGGCTGCGGTTCGCTTGGATGCTGAATCAATGAATCCCCAACTCAGGTGAAATAAAACTTCAGATAAAGCATTATATTGGTCTGTAATTCATCTTATAACCAGTCGATTCAAATGAAAATGCTGCTTGTTACGTTGGGATATAGTAGATATCGAATAATTGGGTTGTCGATTAGGGGAGAACGGGAAAGATTTGGGAGTAGGATGGTGTGTTTGTTATGGAATTGGATTAGATTAATAACCAGAAATGTCGGGAATCAAAGCTGAATTCCGGAATGAATAGGGTGAAACTGGTAGACTATAAAAGTGTAATTAGGTGATTAGGTGAAATTGGTATACTATAAAACTGTTAAAACTTTACTCTTGACAAAAATGTGTAAAAGGGTATAACTTTGTATTACTTCAATAGCAAAACTGTATAACTAAGATTAACTTTAGTTGTATAATTTTTATTTGGTACAACAGATAATGGGTTATTCTTCTACATACACTTTGACTATGATGGACATTATGCGAAATCTGGTGATGATTATGAATGGATTCCAAGCGATGATCGTTTGTATGGTATATCCTTTAAAACATCATCATTGGATGAGATCACTCATTCGTTTTTGAAGGAGAGGATATGCAAGAAGAAGAGCATAGATCCGTTTTTAAAGAGGCTGAATCTGAGTTACATTCCACTGGTAGTAGAACCTAAGAGGCAATCATATATTTTGGATGATGAAGATGTGTTTGTGTATCTAACATCAGTGGATAAGGAGGGAAGAAGAAGTATTTTGCATGTAGAGGTCATCGAAGGAATGGAAATAGTTCCAGTAATGGAGCAACAATCAGTGGTTGAGAAAGAAAGCTCATATGGTGGGAACTATAGTGAGCTTGCAAGTGGATTACCCGAAGTTGAAGAAGCAGAACTATATCTACCAGAGGCTGAAGAGGTGGAGAATTTTGTTATTAGAGAAGCAGAGGAAAAGGAAGGGGGCTTGATGTTATTAATGGAGAAGCCGAGGAAAGAGGCATTAATGTTGTTATTGGAGAAGCCGGTGAAGGGGGCATTGGTATGGACAACGTCGTTGACAATGAGGGCGAAGTGGATAACTCCGTGGGTGTTCGTCCTGTTTGGGACTATGTTGAGCTCCCACGTGTTGCAAAAGAAATTCCAGTGGTTAAAGAGTGGGAAGATGGTTTGGGTATTGAGTTGTTACAAGAATTTCCGAGTAAAGAAGCTGTGAAAGATATGATTAATAGAGCATCACAGCTGAACTGTTTCGGAATTAGTATCTCCAACTCGGACAAGAGTCGATATGTGGTGAAATGTCGGTTAGCAGCTGAAGGTTGTAAATGGGGTGTGAGAGCTACAAAGATAAATAATTCTGAAGTGTTCACGATTAGAACATACATGAAGATGCATTCATGCTCTCGCGCAACTTCATGTACTGGAGTCAAAAGGAAAGTTACCCCAAGATGTGTTGCATCTATAGTGCACAAGGATTATCCGGGACTATATGAGACACCAACTGCGAAAACCCTGCTCGGTCTGGTGAAAAGGAAATTGGGTGTGGAAGTGTCGTATACGACATGTTTGAGAGGAAAAAATCAAGCTTTTGCGGATTTGCGTGGTGATCCCGAGAAATGATACAAAATACTGCCTTCTTATTTGTATATGTTAGAGAAGGTGAACCCGGATACAAAAACAAGTTTGTTACTGGATGAACACAAGCGGTTCAAATACCTATTTGTTGCGTTGGGAGCTTCTATTGAAGGGTTTGAATTCATGAGAAAAGTCATCACTGTGGATGCAACTTTTCTGAAGACTGTTGAAGGTGGTTGTTTAGTTATTGCCACGGCTCAGGATGCAAACCTTCACCATTATCCAATTTCTTTTGGTGTCGTTGATGGGGAGAAAAAAAAAAGCTGGAATTGGTTTTTCACGACGCTGAAAACTGTTATTCCAGATTCGACGAAATTGGTGTTTGTTTCAGACAGAAATGTAAGTCTGATAAACGCTATTGCTGAAGTATATCCGCTGTCTAAACATGGGTATTGTATCTGGCATCTATCGCACAATGTGAAAGGTCATGTCAGACATGGGAGGGACGAAGTTGCGAAACAATTCAAAAAAATTGCATGTCTTTATTCAGAGAATGAGTTTGAAATGCAGTTGCAAGATTTTAAGGAGAGGTATCCAGCGTGTGGTAAGTATGTTGATGATACTGCCGATGTCAAAAATTGGGCGAAGTGTCATTTCCCCGGTGCAAGGTACAACATAGACACCTCTAACTGTGCGGAGTCTTTGAATGCGCTATTTAAAAAGGCGCGAAGCATGTCTTTATTGCCTATGCTTGATACAGTTATTGACAAAATGACTGAGTGGTTCAACAGACATAGGAAGGATGCAGCAGCCGGACAGAACAAAATTCATGACAGAAAATTGGTTCCTTTAGTGGAGAACAAAATCCATGACAGAACACCGAAAAGTTCAAGACTTGATGTGATTCCGCTGAACACTTTTCAGCTTAAATACCGTGTTATTGGAGAAGATGGGAAGACTTATTTGGTGGATTTGCACAAGAAAACGTGTAGTTGCAGGAAGTTTGATATAGATAAATACCCGTGTAGACATGCAATAGGCGCTATCATTAAGTGTTTAAAGCATGATAGACCAATACAGGTGAGTGACATGTATGATTTCGTCTCAGATTATTACTTCATTAGAGTGTGGGCTTTGGCGTATCGAAGGACTGTATATCCAGTCCCTCATATGTCGGATTGGATGGTTCCAAAAGAAGTCGCGGATAAGTGTCCCTTACCTCCAGGCTCCAGAGTACGTGAAAAAAGGAAGACATCAAGAAAAAAGGTTTCCTTTGGCAGGAGAAAGACGGCCATGTCCCCGTCGTAATAAGTATAACCCGGATATTGACTTGGCAAGCTATTTCAACTGTTCGCAGGGAACTCAAGGAATAGAAGGATCACGGGGAACACAAGGCACTCAAGGATCACGAGAAACACAAGGCACTCAAGGCACTCAAGACACTCAAGGAACTCAAGGCACTCAAGGCACACAAGGCACACAAGGCACACAAGGCACTCAAGGCAGTCAAGGCACTCAAGGCACTTCATGCACTCAAGGCACTCAAGGCACCCAAGGCACCCAAGACAGTGAACACATGAGTTGATTGTGAGTGTAAAACTTGGTGAAACTAGAGGAGATCTTCAAAAACTTTGTGAAAACATGCGTTATGTGAATGTGAAACTTGGTGAAACCTAATTAAAGTTATTGCGATATATAATTCTAAAACTTGGTGAAACTTGTGTTATTATTGTTGATTTGGAGTAATTACACCTGCGATGACATTACTTAATCATGTTTAAGGAATATGACGTAACTTATTCAACATGTTCTGAGATTCGTATCACGTGGACTGAAATTTTTTTATAATGTGGATCACATTTTCTATCAATAATGTGGATCACATTTTCTATCAATTGGGAAGGGAATAATACATCATTGTTAGATGTTTTTTTTTGTATACACTACATTGTGGGATTATAAAAGTTACTTATGTCACGAAAACAAATTGTTTTCTACACTGAAACATCTAAAACGTTCATATAAAACAGAATATAGCTGGTATAACCATAAAATTAATCATCTAAGTACAGTAAAACCAACAAAATCGCAAAAAAAACAGAAAAGTAAAACTTAAAAGGTTTTTGTATAACTACAAACCAAGTGAAACTTTAAGCACGGAAATCATTTACAAATTTTTCCTGCCCAGCTTTTTGATATTTCCCACCCAGCTTTTTTGAATTTTCCCCAAAATCGACATAGACGTGTATGTATTAAAGCCATTGTTTTTCTGTTTCACTCATTTATTCATTCTCTCTCTAGATTGATTTGGCGAGAGCTCAGATCTGTATTCTGTCCCTCTTCTTTCTAGAATTCTCGATTACTCAAAATCATGACTCATCCAGACGAGGAATATAGGGAGATGAAGGCTTTGAAGAGAGAATTCGACATGCGTGGCTTCGTGGCGGATGCTGAGTGTGGGATTCCGACCAGATGCCCTTGTGGAGGTAGAATCATCAACGAGGTGTCTCGGGACCCGAAGTATCCAACCGATTTTGATACTTTACCGGGGAGAATACTTCACTTGCAAAAATTTTGAGGTAATTTGTGGATACTTTTGGGTTTTATTTATGTACAGATTTTGATACTTTTCCATTTCACGTGTCGAATGATGGCTTCCATTTCCGTCAACCATGGGACTTCGGAGTCCAGGAAGAGGTCGAAATGTTAAGGAAGCGTGTGGATGCGATGGATAAGAAGATTGCCGAATTGAAGTATGAACTGAAGATGAACTGAAGTATAAGCTTACCCGTCCGAATCCTACCACTCCATGAGATTCGGATTACGTTATGTATTTATGGAATCTATGTTATGTTCACATCTTATGTATTTATGGATTCTATGTTATGTACACCCGAACATCTATCTATTTCAGTTATGTTATGAACTATTCGTTATGAACTCAGCATTCAACTCATCCTATGTTATGTTGAAAGTGAAACTTTGAAAGTTTCTCCCAATCTCCCTCTTTTTCGAGAGTTTCGAAGGAAGTTAGGTTTAC